TAACATAACATTGGTAGTTATTAATATATAATGTCAGTCAGGTATTTTTAAGATTACTAACATTTTTGTCACATCATGTCCAGATCGCGCATGTCAAGACTTACTCAAAACTTAATGTCTGATAGATAATTTGTAATTTGTGTTTGATATGCGAGCAAAAAATTAATTATGAGATTATAAAGTAACAATTTAATATATATAATATTCAATCAATCGAGATAAAGACATAGTTTTGAAATCTGTAACCAACAATCGATGCACAAATATTTAGACATGATGCGAAAGTGCGTAGTAACTTTAGATATTGAAAGATATGAATCTTTTAATGAAACTCGATGTACGTTAATATTGGTGAGATTTGTTGATTTTTATCGGTTCCTCTTTTACATTATATTTATTTATAAATTTTATAGATTTTTGAGATTTAAAAATCCTACCTCTTTAAGTGAATCTATAAAAAAAACTGAATACATTTTGTAGGTATCGTATTCGAAATGTACTAAAACGCATGCGAATAAATATTGATCGAAATTCACGATCCGTCATATGTCGGCGAATCGCGACTAATAAAAAAGTGAATGGCATTAATTAAGCAACGTTTCTGTACTTTGTATTTGCGACTCGACAAATCAATCGTTCAGCAATCGCTCAGCCGTTTTATCATGATGCTACGATCGGCGAGCAGATAATAATGTCGAGTGCCGAAAAGAGGAGCGCGCTTTAATTTTAGCAGATGGTAAAGTACCGCGTTCGTCATCGACCAAAGAATATTGTTGAATGATTGTGACGAAACGCAACTGAAGGAAACCAGTTCCGATCTTAACATCGTCTTAATTAGAGCGTCTAAATCTTACGTGAGATGACAAATGGCATATTAAATATATATATATATATATATATATATATATATATATATATATATCTTAAATAAATGTAGTTTTATACAACAGCACTTTTTTATAGTGCAGTTCATCATATTATAGATTCAAAATGTGCGTTTCGATCAAAGAAGGATGAAAAATCGTCTCTGCTAGAAATTGGCTCGATAAAACACGAGCGTAAGCGTAAGATTCGCCCGCAATTGTCTAATATCAATTTGAAAATTATCGAGATCGTCTCTCTGTTCCCCCCCCCCCTTTTCCCCCCACTTGTTCCCGAAAAAATAATCTCCGTATCCGCACGCTGCTTCTCAAATAAATTTGGCACGACGATCAGGAACGCAATTTACGAGTCGTATCAAATCGTAATCGCAATTCGGAGAAATGGGTTTAAAAGTGAGATATCGACGCTATGCGACATTCGTTATCTTTTATCTCTTTTAATTTTCCTTTTCTTTTTTCGCTACGGGAATCAACGATAAAAGACGCGGCCGATAAATTCAAACAAAAGTCGCTACGAGATAATGGCGTAATGAGAGAATCCAATAAGAAAGAGAGGCTAAAATATAAATTTAGATAGATAAAGAATGTACGTATTTTTGCAATCGTAATTGTAAATCGAATGTTGTTACAGAGACAAAATCTCAAATTACGAATTTCGACCGTTTTCTTTCTATAATGAAATGATTGCGCGATAAAAATATCACGTAGCACGTCGTCTATCATTGACTGTTGTTTTTTCGTTCTATTTCTTTTCGTACATATTTGTATAACACTATTTACAGAATAAAAAAGTAATCTTGCATTTTCTGGGTCATTAACCGCGCGATATCGATCGCGTCGATATCTCGTCTCGAGGAAACACCAGACAAGATATCGACCCCATTGCTCAATTTTTTTATCAAATTCATTTTTAATCTAAAGAGTAGAAACAACTTGTGCGTATAATTGTAAAATTTACGTATATATGTGCGTATATGTGTATTTACTATGTATCTATAGTATATGTATGTACCTAACTGTAAATTTGTATATAATTGTGCATAAAAAGGAAGCGAAATGTCAATTTTAATTACATTCTTGGGTGATTGCTACCAAAAGAAATGTCATCGAATACCTGTGTATGTGTGTGCATTACAATCGATAATACGATAAATTGTTGAAAGCCGAAATGTAGCACGTGTCAGAAAACAATTTTTATTTCAGCGACAACAATTGTCATATTCTCTAAAATGTTTGTAAATGTAAATTTACATTTTTCTTTGTCGAGTGGATTCCGATCTCTCTGTATACGATACAACTGTGTACATACGTCCAATCGTAAGATTTCGAGACGGTGATGGACAATTAGATAATATCTCGCAGCATATATACATATACGCACGCACACATATACAATACATGTACGCAATGACGCGTACGACGATGATGAAACGAGAGGGCGGCATGCGAGAGCGGCTACATACGTATTCGTATGTGTATATGTATAATATGAGCGCCACGCACGACGTGCACGTGCGTGATCTGACCTCGGTTTGTTCACGCACCTCCCGCATGACTCGCGTGCTACAAAAGCTGATGCGAGTCGAGACCTTCGTTCGGGAGGGGCAGAGAAAAAAGATAGAAGCGTGAAATCTCACCATGTATATACTTATCGTGTATGCGATCGCGTATCGCTGCCGTACTGATTTCGCGAGAACTGCTTTCATTTCCATCAGCGTAAAAGACGAGAAAACGCTCTTCTTCCATATGCGTCTTCTTTATCCTTCTTTTTCTCAATGACAAAAACAACCGAATCAATCGTGCGATCCGTTCGTTCGGATTCCTTATTTTTTCAAATTGCGATCCCCAAACAAAATAAAACATTATCAAATTTGTCTGTAAATTTTGCCTCGTTTTTGTCTTATCTCTCTCTATTTAATTGGACGAAAATTACTTACTTACTTAAAGAGAAGAAAGCATATTTACATTTATATTGGATTTCGCCTGTCAATTTACTCGCGTACAACTATCTTGATAAGAGTACTTGTACTTTAATGTAAAAATAGGCGAAATCATTATAAAGAGCCGAATAAAAGAACATTACATTTATAGGGACATAATCTAATTAATCCATTTCTTCTCTCGGCTCTTGAATTATTTCGCCTAGTTTCAAGTTTGTTCTTATCAACATTTGCTAAAGGAAATTTGATAATTCTATTATATGCCGAAACCTGTTTGGCTCCTGGCCAACCTTGATTTTTGAAGCAATCTTTCTCTACTTTTTCGTTACGGTGCCAACAATGTGCGTAAATATTCGTCATTACGCATACGTATATTCTTGGGCATCTAGAGAAACGATAAATTTTAAAGAGCGTTACGCATCTCCCCTTCCACGATCCAGCTGTATACATAAATCATCCGAATACATACATCTTGGTTTTTGAAGCAATCTTTCTCCACTTTTTTATTACGGTGCCAATGATGTATGCAAATATTCGTTATTGTATACGCATATTCTTCTCGGGCATCTAGAGAGATGACGATGAATTTTAAAGAGCGTTACGCATCTCCTTCCACGATCAATCTGTCAACATGATTCGAATACATGTATACATCTTTAGCCGAGAGAAAATTGATCGCATCAGAAATGTTGATATATTTACTATCGAGCGAGTTTTCTGTCGCCTCGACAGAATGCTCCGATGTCGTCAACCGTGCGATTGTGGAATTCATCATTCGGGGATGACGAAACATGACGGTTCGTTGCGAATAGATTGGTTTTGCGTTTTTTGTTTCAGTCAACGCACTAGCCGGGACATGCCTCTAAACTTGAAACTGATTCTACGCGAGGCGAGAGAAACTGAGAAACTGAATTCAAATCAAACGAAACGTATCGTATATAAATATATATATAAGAATATAAGAGATGGATGGAGAAGGAAAGTCTTTTACATATATATTTTTAATCAATTTATAATTTCTTGTAAATTCTGTCTGTAATGTGAAATCCAACATGCGAGAACGCTCTCCTTCTCAAAAGGGGGAAATGCTCGTTGACGATGACGGAAAATTACGGCGCGCTCTCCCTCGAGGACGAATCGATCGAAATTGATATCGCTCCTGGAGGGGCCAATCTTGATTCGACACATTTACGCGCCGGATAAAAAATTCGCGGCTCGATCACGCTTATCTGCTATTCCGGCGTAGAATGGCATCGCCAAAATATAACGACTCACCTTGGGGGAATTTTACGAAACGCGCGATCAGTGCGAGTATACCTGTGCGCGTGTGTTTAAAAGTCTGACAGTGAGTCATAACTTTATCGATGACCCTTGTCGCGAAACTCGCGTCGCTTATACCAAATAATTGTCTATCGAATTTACGCGCCCCTTTTACGCATCGTAAATCGTAAATCTTTTCGGAAGCATCCGGAACACGCGTTGCAAACGCGTCGCGTAATCTCCGACGTATGGACGGACAAGTTATACAAACTGATAAATCATTCGTCCGTATTTTACTTTCTCGAAAAGAAAATGATGTCGCTACGTCGGCGAGAGAATCGTTCTCTCGACGTCTCGACAGGATTGCACTTTTACATGCGCAGTTCTTCTAATACGCACACATTTAGCACAAGCTCGACATCCTTATCAGCTGCCACGTGCTGCATGTGCAATTACAACGCCAAGTCCATCAAGATCGGCCTCTACTGCGTCGCTCGACTATTCGCGACGCAATAAACTACATTTACAGATTCGAATTAAAATTCGAATGTGCGTCTAGACTCATTGTATTCTAATTAGTCGCGGCATCGAGTGCGTCGCGATCGCTAAATTCTGCCGCATTAATCCAATAATATACATATATATGTATATATATATATATATATATACATATATATGTATATTATTATATATATATAGTATATATATATATATATATACTATATATATATATATATAGTATATATATATATATATATATATATATATATATATATATATACGTTTTACCCGAGGTAATTTCATCTCGGTCGTCCTTGACTCGCGTGTAAAAAAATAACTATTTTCGTGTAAATTTGCGGAATACCCTCTCTCGGTTTTTTCAAGTCGGAAATAGAAGGTCTTTTATCGTTGGAAAGATGTAATCTGATGTAATAAATAGTCATACGGAAAAACCGCGATCGCGCGCTCATTTCTCGTGCAAAGTCTCGCAGCGTTTGTCGTCGTTTATAAATCGAGCGTGCACGTGTTGGCTTTTTGATATCAAACTTGGAAAATGAGAGAAATGGTATATTTACGTAAAAGAGCGAAAAGAGATGTGATGGAACGAGAGAAAATTTCGTCCAATATCATACGTTCGCCGTCACTGGCGAAGCGCTCGCGCTTCGTCAAACGTCAAGAACACCGCGATGTGGCACGTGCGCGCGTGCGCGATCGGGATCTCTCTCCCCACCATTGGCCGTTCCGTCCGCCGTGCTCGGCTGTGTTCGGCTCGCCGCTCGACGGTAAACAGCTGGCGACGCTCCGCGTTAGTTGGTGCGCAACGTCGAACGGGGCTGCGCGGAGTTGGGCCGTCTCTCTCTCTCCTACCTGCTCTAATCTTTCCTTTTCGCGTCTAATTATATATTCTCGACCGACGCATTCTTGGCCGCTGTCCAACTACTAGTCTCTGGCCGTTCGCCTATATCGACGAGAGGAAACGGAGCGAGCTGCGTCGTTGTGGAAAGCGGAGTCTCTTTGTTCGGTGCGACGCGAAGGTTCTGCGCATAGACTGTGCGACGACGGAGGCGCAGCATCGTAGCATCGTTTGTGCGTCGTGGGTGCGCGTGTGTGTGCGTGTGCGTGTCGCTCGAGGTACTTTCGTCGCCCCTCGTGCGTAAGACGGGACGGGATAGCCAAGAATAGGCGGCTATTAATATTAAATCTACATTGTGCATCGTCCTATAAATCGTAGCGTAAATTTGCCACCAACGTCTTTGTGATCGTCGCCAACGTGAACGACAGTGTCGCTCGTGTCGAGGAAAGAGGAAGACGGAGAAGCGCGAGCGCGAGTGCGAGAGCGAGAGAGCGGGATCGCAGTCGCAGTCGTGGAACGCGGCGCGCGAGTGCTTTGTTTTGTCGAGCAGCTGATTCGAGGCGGCTACGTGACGGTAAACGCGATACGCACGGCGTTCGCCGCGACCCGCGACGCCAGAGGAATCGGCCGCCAGGCGCGCGCGCGTTTTCCGGAAAAGTTACGTCGCGTCGACGCTGGGAAAAGCGCGTCGTCGATCGAGTCGATACGTCGTCCTGGCTCCGCTGTCACGAATCGATCGTCGACGACGGCTCCACGGACTCGGAGGACGAGAGGAGGCGGTCGAGGAGGTAAAAAACGAAACGTATCGATATTTGTTCGATGGATCTAACCTAACCTCGTAAGCCCCGAAACTCGCTTTCTCTCTCGAACTTTCGCTCTCTTTTCGAGGAGATGCGAAGGATTTTGCACGCCTGCCGCGATGTTAAATGTCCGATGCGTTTGTAGAACGATCGTGCTCGATAAAGACGACGCGATTCGCAAGCTGCATCGCGCCAAGATTATAACCTGAGGTACGTACGAGGTCTACGAGGCGACGCGATCGACCGGTGTTTCTCGCCTCTGTAGGTAGAAGCGGGAGCGAGTTTGGAACAAAGAACAAGGTCCCGTTTTTTACTCCGACCCGCACTTTTTCCAAGAATCTTCCGCGATCGTAAAGGGGAGCAAAGGGGAGACGGAATTTCTCTCTCGACGATCGAGAGTCGAAACCTTGAAAAAGATTCTCGGGCAGTTACGAAAGCTAGGAAAGCCCGATTAAAATTTCAAGTCGTCGAGAAATCTGGATGATATCGCGCGACCCGGGACGTAGCGGGATTTCGTCTCGAGAGCAACGTCGAGAATCGCGTTGATCGATGCGGCATAGTCTCGGGGGGGCCGTCCTCGCGAACGATCAAGAACGTGGGGTACGGCCCCGATCGAGCTGACTAGGGGAACCGTCGAGGCCGCGGGCCTCCCCTGCCGCTGACGGGGCCCGTGCCGAGAAGGAAGGCGAATACATCGAGATAAACACACTTCTGTCGTTGGCTACTTGACCGGCTCCACGATGCTCTACATCTTCCACGTTGATACCGGCACTACCATCACCTTCGACATCAAGCTGGCTCTAGAAAGGTAATTTATACTGTAGATTTTATCATGTTACAGATTGTTTGACAATGTATTTCTCATTATCTAATAGCGTAGTTTGAAATGAATAGAGAGAGAGAGAGAGAGAGAGAGAGAGAGAGAGAGAGAGAGAGGAGAGAGAGAGAGAGAGAGAGAGAGAGAGAGAGAGAGAAGAAAGACCAATGTATAAATCTGAAAGATACATTTACAAAGTATGCGTGCGTGTATGCATGTACGATTTATTACTTTTGCTTGTCTCTTTTTCGGTCGCATCTTTGAGGTAAGAAATTATTTTGCTTTAGCGCGAATCCAAGAGAATCCGCCAAAAGTCAACAAGTTGCAAAAATGTGACACGTTGCGTTGAATTGTGCGCGCTTCTCCGAAAGTTTTTCGGAATTACGAGTAGCACCTCGTCCTAAATGACTGCATACTCGCGCCGAAAATAACATGTACGCACGCACACGTATATGTTGAAAGAAATGCGCGCGCGCAGTACACGTGGGTGTGAGTTGACGCGCACGAGTTTGACCCGATGATCGGAACTCGGCCAAGCTCTCCCTCTAATGCGTACGTAACACGCGCACATGATGCAAACTCTTTCGGCACCTTTGTTGCATTTTTAGTTGTCGATGCCGATTATAATGGTATTTCTTTTTAATAGACAATTAAATTTGACGTTTTGTTAGCAGGAATGTAAAATAATCGTAACTAGTTAAAAAAGAAAAAAAAATACATTGTTCATCTACGAGAAAGGATTATCACCATCGTTATCGATTGAGATCATTGACGAGAGGAATAACGAGGAGGAAAATAATCTTCAGCGGATGTAATGAAGAACAGATAAAATGATTGTATCGGCACATTAAATGCATCGGAAACGTTAAATCTCATTTCCGATAACGGTGCAACGCGCCACTTTTCTCTTTCTCTCTCTCTTTCTATATATATATATATATATATATATATATATATATATATATATATATACATGCATATATACTTTTGAGAATTATTCCCACGCGATTATGAAAATAATATTGGCCGGATGCACCGTCCGTTTTGTAACGTATCACGCATGCCGAATCAGGTTGCATGTACAAGCTCGGCCAAGCTTTTAATGCGCAGCGTTCCAAGAAAGACGGATTACGTTGCTCTCTCTTCATATTCTATCAACGTCCGAGATAAATTGAGCAAAAAATTGTCGACTAGATCCGAGAGAGGGAGAGGGGAGAAATTATGTCATGTACAATATAATTTAAACTAATGTCGCTTCCGACCGATAATTGCTACAGTTTCCAGCACTTGTGCTTTTATCGCGCAATTTCTCCGTCCTACTATTCCATCCAAGTCTCAATGTTTACTCCCGAGTTTATTTCGGATATGCTATTTGTGGATTAAGATAGAGAGACGGTCAACGGCCCCGTTTGTGTCGCAGCAATTAACGATCTGTGTCAATTCGCGAGGGCGCTCCTGCCCCCGACCCCGCCCCCGCTCTCGCCTCCCTTGCTTTTATTCATCGCGCCTGCTTAGTAATCGCGGCTGCGCGGCTAAGCGTGAATGAGTAAATACGCTGCGGCCTAATTGCAGCGTCACGATTAAACGCAAAACTAGATAATCCCGTCGTGAGATCGGTAATACGATGATCGGTACGGCAGCATTTATTTCGCTCGATTACGTCCGCTCTTGCTTCGCGTAATTAATAATATAAGGATACCGCGCGAAAGGAAATCAGACGCGCCAATAATCGACAACTTTTTATTATTAGCGCGACACGCAATTGGTGTAAATATCGGTATTTATTTTATTGATACAATCTCGGGAATGCGCGGGCGTTTTCTCCCGCTTGAGTCAAATATATTTGCAATTAGTATAATAGTAAAATTAATTAACAACAGCTACTTAACGATATATATGCGTGTATTATTTGCACAGTCGTTATAATTTTTCGTTGTAGTTTTACGCCCTATTACGCGAAATATAATCTCGTATATTGATTTTTTCGTTAGAAAGTTTTCTACCAATTTGCGCAATTTTCATAACAATGGGATTCTTTACATTACGTTCTCATCAATTATTGCGAAAAATGACTAAGGACTTTTTTTTTCTCTACTCGGTTTAATCTCGCTCTACTTGTAACTCTACACTTGAGAAATGATACGATATTACGTGGATGGACTATATAGGATAATCGATGTTGTAAAAGTTGAAAAGAGAACGATTGTACATGCAAGAAGGAAAAGAAATAAGATATAAAACTTGCTTTTCGTAATATAATGCTTTTTTAAATTTGATCCGACTCGAACGATGTATAACTGTTGATATCAAAATACGTCTCCGCATACGTAAAAGGAGAAAAATATGACGAGTGAATGTCGATCCGCGTTAACAAAATTGCAACAACGAACGTGTCGCGTGAAATTTGAGTCGCGGCACGAGCCATGACGTGCCCAGCTCGACGACACGCAGTCTCGAGAATCGGCGCGACGTGACGCGCGCGCGCGCGCGCAACTGAACGTATCGTAATCAGCTGTAGCGCAACTGCAAATGTGACTGGCGATATACCGCTCTTGCTCTTGCGCCTGTTCTCTCGCGCCAACGCGAAGCATTTGATCGATATATGGCGTGGCATAATCCGAAAACTTTAAATCGTTCGTTAACCGATGTTCGATTTATAGCGAGAAAAAGAATAGAATTACGAGAAATTGGAGGAAAGAGATATATTAGTATTGCGTGCTAGAAACATCAATTATTTCGAGAACACTCTCTACACACACAACTAATGGACATTTTACATCTCGAATAACGCGTTACGAAGAGCAGAATTTCGCTCCTCAATTTTAATCTTGGCAATGTAATGGAATCATTTTCATTCTTTTATAATTAATACGCATATTTCCTTTTACTCCGATGAAAAATATTCCTTCTTCATCCGTCAATTGACCTTGTGCGGGATATTAACGAGTAGCGCCAGTTTAAATATTCGCATGTATTGTCCGAGCATTGTGTCACTTGTTGAAATAAAACTAAACGCAATCGTTTCGCGAATTAACGACAATCTTTTATCGCGTTACACGAGAATAGCGAAAAATCTTGAAAAAAGTTGAAACTCTTTGACTTGAGAGAGATAATTATTTCGACAAAAAATATCTCAGCTGTATAAAGTTGAAAGAAAAAGTTTCTTTAAATCGTTATTTCGCGCATTTAAGAGCATAAATTATTACGCTTGTATTGGTGCGTAATTAATATTTTTCTGTGTAGCGTGAGCCAGCTGATGGAGGCGATCGAGAGGGAATGCGGCGTAGTAGCGACGCATCAGGTACTGCTTATGAGCGGAGGCGAGTGCCTAGAACCCAATGCACGTGTATGCTCTTACTCGGCTGGAACCGACACGAATCCGATCTATCTGTTTAGCAAGGCTGCCATTGAGAGTAGTCTTCCGCCTACACCGAGTATAGATTACGGTTCCGGTAAGTAACGAAAAAAAATCTCTTTTACTAGCGCATATATAAAAGTGATTTCACAATATTGCGCGCTGAAGCATCAGCTTGTGTAATTTTTACATGTATCGGTAACGACATGTTTGTTATGACAATCAAATTTTATTTTCAAATGTTATAGCATACATAATATTTTTTTCTCATTATTTTGTGCAATTCTTTATTATCGTCATTTTTGTAGACAAATTGTTTCAATAATAATGACATATATATTATCGCTCGTATAATATTTGTGATAATATTTAAATTAGCATCTATCTTGCATCAAATTAATTCTTATCGTAACGCAATTTTGTGAATTCACTCGAGATGCCCGATGATGACGTAAACTTAATTTTTAACATTATTATAAATGCGGATAATTAATTTTTTTAAGCCGAAAATTGTGGAATATCAGCTTCTCTCGTTGACAGTTGACATTGCTCGCTTCATCGACAGAAAATCATACGATAAAATGATAAATGATGAAAGTCTTTGTCTACTCGAAAAAGAAGAAATCGGAAATTATTATTAAAGAAATATCAAGAATTTAAGATCCAAAGTTAATTTTTTTTATGTATCGACATATGTCATCTTTTTTTTCGCAGTTTCTTCAAGTCTTTGTCATATAATGGAGAAAGAATGACCGACGCGATATATTTTTTTTTCCGATAGAAACGCATTTTTCCTCTCGTATTGATAATTATCTTTAATTTCTCAAAATTGGGTTTCGTAAAATATGCATTTATTTTATACTTTCTTTCGTTTATTCTTCTTTGTCTTGTACCGTTAGATTACCGTGTGCGCGCGAGTCGCTATATTACTGTACTCGTTCTCTCTTTTTCTCTAATTGCGCATATGTATCACAAGACACGAGAGATGCGATTTACAATTAATAGTAAATTATATAAACAATTATACTTGCATACTTGTCGCAAATTTCTACACTCGTGATTCGAGCGTAAATTAGACTCGCGCGAAACCAATGTGTAAAACGGTAACAGATACGCATTATGCATCTGGTAGAATCTTTACATCATCTTGTAAGCGAAGACTTGGCGCGATTGTCCGAGTTAGGTCATAGATGTTGCCACTGCGAAACTTTGACCCGTGGTGTTAACGAGTCCCATAATCAACTGTCTGACCTGATTCTATTATTTATTGGATAATCATCCGGTTCTCCTTTCCGGTTGAGCGTGAGTAATTGCATCTCGACGACTCGTGACAACACCAGCTCCCGTTGCATACAACACTAGAAACTAGGCCGGCTAAATAGACGGCATGACGCTTTTTCGCGAGTCGCAAAAATTAAATGTCATATTTGCCCAAGTTGCGACGAGTCGTGTCGAGAAAGTACTCGAAGCAACTTTAGTTCTACAGATCGTACTTCAAAATTTCTTCTCGTCGCGATATTGTGCGTTTGTCTCTGTCAAGAAGCGAAAACATAAGAGAGGTGAGATTGCAAAAAAAAGGTCTGTGAAATTATAGCCAAAATTTCTATAGTCGATTGCATTATGTCATGTAGACGGATGTGTAGTATGACATGTAAAAATTTATTAGATGCAAAGGTACAATTTTATAGACAAACAGATTCGATGATTGTGACTTTTTTATATCGAATTGTTGGCGTTTTTTGAACGAATACACACGATATAGATCATAGGTAGATTGTAATGTTTAAATATATACTTGTAAAAAATATTGAAATCATTAAAATTTATTATACAAAAAAAGTATCTCGAGAGATATTCAACTTTAAAAATTTAAAATTAAATTGAATTTAGAATTGTCAGTCTTTTCTCTACAAAGATGACATTGAGGCGGTCGTTGTTTTGAAATATCGCGTTACACTAAGCCCCTCGAATAGAATGGTTTATCGAGAATCGAAGATACCTCGTGACACATTGGAGTGGTCAGCTGACTAGAGGACTTTATAAGAGTGCTTCCGTCATCGATCGTAAAACATGACAAAAGTATCAGAATAGCTGCTTATCGTTGAATAGGCTTTGAACGTTATCTTTTCAATGTTGATGAATGATAGATTCTCGAACCAAATGATAGATTCTCGACCGTGACACAAAAACAAAACAAAAGACATAAAACGATTGTTTGTTTACGTAGCGATTTGTCAGTAATTCATAATTTGTGCGTGTGTGTGTGTGTGGGGTTCGCGCGCGATGAAAGGAATTTCTCTTACTGGCGCATCTTAATCAATCGCGATTAGATTTAATCCGAGAGTAATTTTTTCTTATCAATTATTAAATTATTAAATTCCCAATTAGCTGATTCTCGTTGGCAGGCGAATGAGATGCGAACAAAATTGCATTTTTCGCAATATGACTTTTATAATACTTTTGTAATGTAATATTTTACGAGCTCCATCTCTTCTAGCATTATAATTATCCTCAATTTTTCTCGATAAATTTCAATAAACAAAGTTTATTTTTCTCAACATTTATCTTTAATCAAACTTTATTTCTGATAAAACGCGATCCGCGCAAATTTACGAAACCTTGGATAGTATTTTGGCGAACTAATCAAAACTATCAAAAAATAAATAACATATGATTGAGTCGATGCCTACATTAAGCTATATATGTGCGCGTGTATATGAGTGTGCATGCGAGCAAGTGCATGAATAATGATCTAAATATCATAACGTTATAACAATATAGTCGATATATCCTTGCAGCTTTTGTACTTGTGTAACAAATATATTATTAAGACACGTAGCTTTTTTTTTTAATTTAGAAATATATTGCTAAATATACGTGCATTTAATGTAATTATCTGCGTGTGTGACGCGATATTTTCTTTTACAATTATACGATATGCACGTCTCGTTGCGATAGATAAGCCAAGGTTTTCTTGAAGATACTACTATTGCGTTGTACGGAAGCAATGCGAAAACAGTAATGCCCGATAGATGAACTTATGTTTTTAGTGTCAACATCTTGTCATGCTCCAACATGTTATGTAAATAATAATTACTATTTAGATTAAATAAGTTTTGTCAATAAATAAAAAGAGATCATTTGCAATCGTATGCTATGCGTTGGATAGATTGCACAGAATTATTCGACTTTTTTGTCTTTGATTATTTGTCACGTTCTTATTGTCTCGTATCATATATTATATTTTTATCATCGAGCAATATGCTCCTTGAAAATAGCGTCGTGATATTTCGCAATGGCACATCGATATAGCACAGCAGTAGCAGGATTAGAAAAATTATTGAATCTTTTTTTTTTTTATATCAAAATATATAAATAAAAGTGCGCTAATATTGTTTTGCGAAATATATTACACCTGCTCACATAGAAAGTTATAAAAACATTAAAATGTAATTGCAAATCTTACAATTAGTTCAAATATTGATGATATTAATGTGTTTATATTTAATGTTGACAAGAAATTCAAATATTGAATTTTTTTTCACTATTGATTTTTACTACGTAAGAAAATGGAAGATGATGAATGAGCATATTTTGTAATATGTATTATTTCTATTAAGAAATGAAGAAGAAAATTGTTAATGCATTTAAAATTTTTAAAAATTTATTTAAAAAAGATACGAAAAGAAAATATTATTATGCTATTATCGTGCTTATAATATTTTTTGTTACATTATATAATAAAAAGAAATACGAAGAAATATAATATAATGAAAATGAATACGAAAGGAATAGGAATTGTCAAAGTTATCCTTATAAATGATGCACAAATGATGAGCAAAATTGTAATAGATATTTTAACTGTCATACGCGAGATCAAAGAAATACATTGAGTGCTTTTTCATGTTTCTAATACGTCGTAAATCCGCCGCATTGTGCTCAGGGAGGAAATAGAAAAATGAATATGTGTATAAAGAATAATTAATCACCGTTAGGAATTATAATAAATTATAACTTTCAATTTCATATCCAAAAGATTCCTGATTATTAATCTGCACATTGCGCGTGTGCTTTATGAATAGTGCAAACGTTTCGATAAACACAATATAATAATTACATCCGGCATATATTTGTTCCTTGTTCGCGATATCCGTCGATGGCGATTCAACTTTCGAGTTTGATAATATTGCGGCATCTCGTGCTGATTGTTCAATTGTGCATAATGATATTTTTGCATTTGCAAATCAGTAGGGTCACTCGAACGGCGATATAGAGTTCGGCATCGGTCATACATAAGTATGTATGTGCATTATCATAGAATATGTGCGATAGAATATGCAAACTATGATCTAAATCTAGATATCATAAATGCATCGCAATTTTTTTCTCCTATTTTATAATATTTTTTATTCCGTTTATTCTGTCTGACGATAAATTTTTTTTGCGCTTTCTCCTGCGACTTTTTGCACGTGAATTAATCTCGCTCGTAATCTCGTTCTTATAATTCGCCTCTTAGATCTAACAGAATGACGTAAGATTACTGTAAAATATCGAAGCGATACACATCGCATCGACCTTGGAGTTTCATCGCGTGCCAAGATTACGCTCTTTGGCAAACTTCGTCGATCAATTATACACCTGCTACTCGATTTGCTTTTTGATTTCCGATTCAGTGCACCAAATTCCCGTTTTGTTGCGACAGACTCGTCAATTTCGCGTTATTATTGCGTAAGACATTTTTTTTTGTTTTTGACGCTTATAATGTATAATCAACAACAAGTTCGAATTTAAATTTACAGCCACTTGTACCTTTGTTTTACAAACCAGATATAGAGTCATGATGAATATCTCAATTTTATTTACGACTTGCCAAGTTGCACGCATCTCCAGATATTTAACAGATATTATGCGTCGATTCTCATTCAAGAATAGTATGTGATATATAACGTTAAGAAAAAAGAGAAAATTTTTGTTTCCGAAATTTAAACGGTTAATATATTGTATAATATATTAGGGGGGAGGGGACGGGAGACAAGCATAACTTTTTTTTAACATTCTCTCTTAAAAGGAATTGGATTAAAACGCGAAAAAATGTGTATTTTATTAGATACCTATAAATATAGATACCAATTTTTTATGCATATAATGTTTGCAATTTTTTCAAAAAAGTAGTGCATTATTTTATAAAATATAACGTATAATGCTTTGTGCTATTATTAAATTTTGCAAAATGTTAAAAAAACTTTCAAAAAGTGGAACCATTTATAACTTTTTATATTAATTGTAATAATAATAATTTCGTATATATTCCACAATTACAATTTCCATATATATTAATTACAATTTCAATATATATTATTAATTATAATTTACACACGTTAATTTTTTTTATCAGATGTGGATCTTCAGACCCAGATCGATGCTTCGCTGGCAATGCCGGCCACCTATCAGACTCTTTGTGCACGTGCCCATCTGGCTCAACAATGTTGTGGTCTGGCACGAGAACAGACAAGAATCTGCGAGAAGCTAGTTCATGATCAGCATCTTCAACAGCAGGGTTGGGCTGCGGTAGTTGCAAATCTCGAAGATATCACACAAATGTTTCAATCGCGAGCCGAGCAATTCCAACAAGCCTTTGTTTTGTATCTCGCTGAGAGGCAGCAACATACGGATCTCCTCGACAAGTAAGATTTTTCTATCGCATCTATCTCATTAATGCGAAGGCGAAGATGGTGAATGGGGGGAGAATCCTATATTTTATTCTTAATCCTGTGATTAAGTTTTTCATATCAATAAGTTGTAATTAATATATAGAAATTTCTCAATAGGTGTATTAATTAATCAACAAATTAAATGATAGATTAAATTATTATTATTTTATAACACGATGAGCATTATGAAATGCGATATACATATAAATTAAGATTCATTAAAGTCATTAAATCCAACATGTAGATGTTATAAAAGAATCTTCTTCTTTGAGATAAATTTATAGAAATAATGTCTTACGTTTATTTTGATTATCGTGCTATATAATAATTTATAATTTATAATCGCAAAATTCCAAATCCGACATTTATTGTAATTGACACAGTTACATTGAATGCTACGAATAAGTTGCAAAAATAAGTTGAAAAAATTTGTTGGTCTCTTTTATCCGATTTAGATTTAGTGCCGAATAAAATTGAGAGGGAGGAAAATACGATGAATAAAAATTAACAATAATAGAGGAGATTAACAATAGAGGAGATTAACAGATTTAGGGTGCATTACAAAGTGAATCAATTTTTCTCAATAAGAAGTTAAGTTAATGTAATAACATTGCTCTAAACAATTATTTTAGTTATAATGGGATATAATTGGTATTGAATCCACGCCTTAATTATCATAACTTTGATTATCATTATTAATCATCGCCATTTCAATTATCATTATTTATTGCTAATCGGTAATTAAATGTGACTACCACTTTAATTTTATTCAAAAATATGTGCATCGGAGTTGATAGTTTATATATGTGTTTGCCAAACATATATATATAGCCAAAAATACTCCTCATGACAATATCCCAATTTGTAAGCACATTGATTCAAGTTTTTAAATTCTTCTCTGAAAATGTTGTGCCTTCGCATGAATAAAATCAGATATTTAAATTGATGTTCTCCATATTATTAAGTGACAAAGATTAATGCGTGAAAAAACGAATTGTATTGCAGTTTTAGTGCCGATCTTGGTACTCTCGCAAAAATTCCTATTCTGCCGGCTTTGAGAGCCCAAGCGGAGGGCCTATTGAGTCCGGATGATCAACCCAGTCAATCTTCTGAGCCCGCTTCGGAGAATCCCGGGGAAATGCTTAGTCTGCTTCGATGGATCTCGGCTAAGGACAATCAGAGCAGCCTAGAACAAGTGGCGGATCAATGTTCGCGTGGTTTAGAGCAATTCGATGAACGATTGATGGAAGCTTTGAAAGCCGAAGTAAACGCGGCCATCGACAATGCCAACAAGCAAGACATGAAAGAAATTAAGGGCTTGGGCGAGAGACTGTTCGCCTTAGAACAGCTAATGGTGCAGACCAAGAGACTCGTTCACGAACAAGGCGAATTGGCTCAGGGTTTTTTACAGAATCAGAATCGCGCGAGTAATCTGGGCGATGCAAGCGTCCTACCCGATCTTTGCACTTCCCATCGGCGACAATTGCTCGTCATGTTGCAGAATCACAACCAGTTGCGCGATATCCGTCGCAGATGTACCAAGGCGAAGGAGGAGCTCTCGGTGAACATCTATCATCGTCTCAAATGGATAATGTATGTGGAAAATAAGATGGTAGAAGTGGGCAACAAGTTGATCATATATCACGAAAGCCTGAAACGATTGAGGAGACATCTGGAAGTACTCCAGCAGATTCATTTGGCTCCGGAAATGTATATAAGCGCGGTAATTGAAGTGGTAAGAAGGCGCACGTTCTCGCAAGCTTTTCTCGTATGGGCCAGCAATTTGGCTTGCCAGTTGTTGACAGTTCACAGCGAAGAGCTAGCACGTAGACGAGAGTTTCAGAGCAAATTCAACGGTCACTTTTTGAACACCCTCTTTCCGGGCCTGGAGGATACGCCGCCGCCTTTCGCGACGCAAGCACCTTCCGTTTTTGACAACGGACTGCCCAAGGTAAACTAAACTAGAATCTTTTCATTAATCATCGTTGAAATATATCGTACGCCTATCGTACAGTTTTTATTCTTTTTAATGCTTGATTAGCTGACCGCGGATGACATGGAATCATTGAGGTCACAGCTTCCGGACTTGGCATTAACCATCTCTACGCCCGATTTAAACAACATCACACATTTCTTTTTATCCAAAAGCTTTACCGAGGGCAGCAGCGACGATATTAAGGGAAAGGATGCTACATCGGTGAGCATTCCAGCGAAGGAACAAGAACGCGGTAGAGCGCCAATGTTGTCCGACAGGTAACAATCTTTGATAAAAAAAAAACGTTACGTTGCGTCATAGATAAAATATTAGATAGATAGATTATGTAAATATCGCAAGCATCACGATTATGCTATTGACTTTCAGAGGGGACTTTGAATCCGAAACAGATACAGAGGAGTTTGAAAAGATCGGTCAGGCCGGCGCTGACGCGACCAAGCCCGGCGTGTTCGAGAGTGCGAAACAGAAGCGGCAAAAGCAATTGGAGGTTGGTGCTTCACGAAGCGTGTCCCCCGCTTCGTCGACCTCGACTAACGTCTCCCCGTTAAATTCAAAAGTCGCGGATCTAACGACCCGTTCGTCCACGTCAAGCGAACCTGGTTCTTTCCAATTTCCCAGCCTGTCCGCCGTGAGTGAGCGCCCAGTGCAACTGAGTCCGCTGACTGAGTGCGTGGAGAATGGCGCTGTTGATTCCTCTGTCTGTTTGTTCCGTAACGGCGCGAGTGGCTTCTCAAACTATCGCGACGCTTTACCACTCGAGGAGCAGCATTCCTTGAGTCCGAATCCCTCCTCCTTGCCACGGTCCTCCGTCATGTGCGACGACCAGCAGCATCATTATCATCATCCGTTGTCCGGTAGCGGTGGTAGCAGTCCCTCTGTCGGCGTAGGCGCTACCGATTTTATGGGTACTGAGTTTTACATGGACGAATCTCTGCCGAGCAGTCTCAGTGAGCATCCTGCCGACGGCCAGCATCAGGCTATCATGTCCCTCCTTCAGGTACTGGACGACTTACAGCTCGCTAACAGACAACTCTTGTAGTCGTAAAACGTTCCATCAAGTACTGTCTTCGTCCTTTACCATTACCCCTATCATGCCTCTAAAATGTACAAATGTATGTTTTCTCTTTCTCTATCCTATCTCTGTTTATTCTTTTTTTCCTCCGTTCTGCATCGAAATATCGAAAATATTGTTCGATATTCCATTTACATGGATGTTCATGTTTATTCGCTTTTGTACTCGTGTTTATCTCTTATAATTTCCACATATTTTTTAATCGTTATCCTTATATTTGTTAGTGAGCTATTAAAATTGACTATATGCAATTTGATTCGTGATGGATGACATGAATATCGTATGTATCGCTTCTTGTATTTTGTAATCGCTCAAACCAATCGAATTAAATCTTAATGCGCTTTCAACTGATTTCTCTGTATCGCTTGCACAAATATAGTGGATTCAAATTTTAGACACGTGTGCGTCAAGTACGTGCATGCGCATATATATATATATATATATATATATATATATATATATGTATATGTGTGTGTGTGTGTGTGTGTGTATGTATGTATGTATGTATGTATATATATATATATATATATATATATATATATATATATATATATATATGCGTGCATCTTGATTTTTTACAGGATAGCTGGCGTCGCACTCGTTTCCTGATTCCTTGATCCACACGTGATTCCTTCAAAATTCCATTAAACTCATCTACGCAATCGCTTTCACAAAGACATTCGTTTTAAATTAAAATGATTGCAATTTTGCGTAATATTTGCAAATTTATACAAATCTAGTGTGAGTCAAAATTTAAAAGAAAGGATGAAATGTTTCTGCATTGCATAAATTTTTCTCGACTATGTGTGCACGCGCGTATACATAGTCGCGAATAATTCTATGAAATGTGAATTCTTGGATGTGTTTATTGGAATATCTCTGATATCGACATTTCAGGAAAATCTCGGTAATACTCGCGAGGAAGTGGAAAGGTTGCAATCCATTCTAAAAACTATGAAGATAGTTGTATGCGAAGAATTGAATTTCGTTCGGAAGGAATTGACGAGTCTGCGAGAGCGATCCAACAAGGACAAGAGCGGTTTCGCCGAGATGACGGAGCGCATGCGAGTGGCATTATCTTTATACTCGCGAGAATGCGATCGACGTCTTCAAGAGCGCGAGCAAGAATTGACGCTCGAGCATGAGTTTGAAATAACGGATGTCAAGAAGCTGATACAGAGCCACGAGGAAGAAATTTGCACGCTTAAGCATAATCTTCTAGAAAAGGAGACAGAATTAACGGAGCACGAACGACTGGTGGCCACAATGCGTCAAAAGCTGGAGGACGAACAGATTGAAAGAGGGAACTTACAGACTCGTCTACACCAGCAACTTGAGGATTATTCGAGAATATTGGAACAAGCGCGTATAGATAAGGAAGAGGCTATGAAGAAGGCGAATGATGAGAAGTTTCTCGAGATTACCTCTCTGACGAATTCCTTGACACAATGTCAGAAACGAATTCAAGAATTGGAAGAGAATCTAATCACTGCTCGCAACGATCAGGAGAGAATAATGAAAGAGGTGACTGATAAGTTCCAAATAGAATATAAGACGGAATTGGAAACCATTCGAAGTCGCTTCAAATTAATGGCCGCTTCCACCATGGAAAGGAGTCCTAGTGATTCTAGTTTAGAAAGGATCGAGGTAAATAATCAATCGTCATTTTATACTTATGCTATTGTTATGGAAAATAAAGCGGAGAAAAGTGCAAAAGATTATTATTTTGATTTTTTCAGCGGACAGATGTTATCGAGCTGGCGAATCACGAGGCGATTTTAGAGCAAGCAAAGGAAGATATGAAGGTAGAAAACGCCATGGCAGTTCGTACTGCTATAGAAAAGGAGAGGGCTGATTGCATGACAAAATTGGATAACGAATTAAAATTGGCAAAGGAAGTAGTTGAAGAGAAAAATAGAGAGATTGAGATGTACAGAGTAAGAACAGTTGCGTTGATCGAACAGGGCAAACGTTACAAGAATATGATGGATCGATTAATTGGAGAATTTGGATTGACATCGGATATACAGCAAACGATAAAAGAGAAGGTATCGTATCACGTAATTTGTACATGCGTCAAGTATAATTTTCAAAACGTGTTGAAGAATATAGGAAAAAATATATACTACTCACGAAAAAATGCGACAAAAAATTATCCATATTAATATATCTCCATCAGATTTATAATCCTCTAACAGGACACACATTTATTTTATTTATAGAGGAAAGAATTTTTGCATAAATGAATTTTACCTTTAAATGAATTTCATACGTACAAACAATATTATGATATACAAGTTAATTTGCAATATTTCTCTCGTTGGAAGTTTTGGCATAGTACTTAGATTTTCAGTTTTTAGAATATCGACAAGATTAATTTATATATCTTTATTTCGTACGTTTTCGTACATTTGTCTATTTTCTACGAGTGACTAATATAATCCAAGTTTTTCAATACTTGTTTTAAATTATTTTACATATTTTTATTTTGAATACTATATCTTTATATTTTTTCTTTTTACGATATCTTGATCTCTTATTTATGAAAACGTAGGTGAAAAATCTTGAAACAGACAAAACATGGTTGGAAAACAAAGAGACCGCGGAGAAGACAATGCAAACGGTCATGGAACAAAACAAAGATACCCTATACCCTCTGGAATCTGAAGCATGCAAGGATTTGACCTACAATCGGTTAGATGGCAGTCAAGTCGATCTGGAGAAAGTTTTCAAGGATCTAGAATCCGAAAAGTATGAAGATGAGGTCTCGGAATCAAAGAAAGTACGATTAGAGGCTAATGACGATGATTTGGCTCATCTATCGAGACGACTTGAGATTCTCGAGAACGATAACAAGAGACTGTCTTGCGAACTGAGTTCAATACGTGCGAGTAAAATGGTAGTCGAAGCTAAAGTAGAAGCGTTAATGACGGATAAAATTCGTTTAGAAATTGAGTTGCTGAAGGAACGAGCCAAGAGATTATTTAGTATCGACTCGTCATTGTTACCCTCCGAAAATCGTGATAGAGACATGAATGCATCGGTCGCGGTAGTTTCAGATTCTAATTCGAGTCGAGATGCAGCTACGAGTCCAGAACCAAGTCGACGATCATCTTCCAAATCCATATGCTTCCATCCTTCCCTTCCCTCTTATATACATAAAAAGGTCGCGGAAAAAGTGGCCAAGATGGTGCAACAGGGGATCGTCACCATTACCAGTTGCAATCCAGGTGATGTGGTACTCGTAGTCTGGGACACTGTTCATGGCAATTATGCAGTGTATCAGGAATCCTCGACTCTTTATTTTCTTCATTCAGACTACGTAGACGCACTGGACGCAGGAATGAATTCAAGCGGCTCTCGGAAATGCATTCTCGCCGAAGTGATCGATAAGGAATATTGTCACGCGAGAAAGGTAAGACTGCTATTAAATTCAATTCATGACAAGTTTACAGTCTGTATCGCCATGATATGGAACGAAGGATGTAATAATAGGGGGAAAAAAAAAACATTTTCTTGTTTTATTTTCAGCATGAAAATCGGTATCATGTCCCACGTGGCACGAAATTTTACAGAGTGCGCGCTAAACCGCGAGATGTACGCGCATTGACAGAGGAAACGGGTTCATTGTCAAAGAGTCAACTACCGTAAATTTCAGACTAAACGTCGAGAATCCCTTTGATTCTTGCCTAGTACAAGCGCTGTGATCGAGGATTTGCATCGGCAGGTCGCGTTTGTTACGAGACCAATTACCCGGGACGCAAATCCCGAACTTACGTCTCTGTAAACCATCCGGAAACCTCTAGGCTAAAACCTGCCAGAGCCTTTAGACGCATCCTTGACATCGATAAACATTGGGGTGATTATCCATAATGAAAGAGGAGGAGGTGTGTGCAAATTGGATAAACGTGAATTGAAGCAGAAGGATGCGCCGGCGTTTTTTATTGTGATATAAGTAATTTTTAAACGAGTGAAACATATTTGCCGAATGCTGTGGTTAACTGTGAAGCGTAAACGATATTTGTATTCTTTGACTTTTCTTTTTCTATAAATGAGAAAACAAAGAGATGTGAATGCCGTCAACGATTCTCTTTCAATAATTTAATAGGCTGACCAATAGAATGAAAGACAGAAAGAGAGAGAGAGAGAGAGAGAGAGAGAGAGAGAGAGAGAGAGAGAGAGAGAGAGAGAGAGAGAGAGATTGTTTAACTTCAATATTAAATGTACGATGCGAAAAGACGAAAGCAAGTCCCTCAGGCAACGTTCAGCTTTCTCTTTCCGCACTCCGATAATTATCTTTGCATTATACGAAACGAAAAAAACGTAATTGTAAGTTTTACAAAACCAGTATAGGAGAATGTGCGGTTTATGTATTATAAATACATGTATAATCGCATTAGGTAAATAATATATACATATGTAAACGTGTGTGTGCCCGCGCGCGTGTGTGTGTTGTGTGTATAAAATTATATATATAAAGATCACATAGTAAATACATACACACAACACACACCTACATATACACATTATTGTACGAAGCGTGCAATATCGAATATCTCACAGGTTCTAAAAGTGGGGCTAAAATTTTGTAAGGAAAAATTGTGTCTCGCGACTGTGTGTTGTGCAATTTCGCAACTATACCTAATATGTTAGGATATTTATACAAAGAGACCGTGCTATGCAACATTGTATATTTCCGACGATTCTTTTAACAATGCCTTGCGTAGTTTTTGTCGTGCGAGAATCGTCCTTTCACTTTTTTATATATTTTCAGATATATTCACTTTCACATTTCTCCCTCTTCTCTCATTATTCACTTTCGCAGTCTCTTAGTAAATATCAACGAGGTTAAGAGATACGTAAACGTAAGCCAATGTTTCTAACGAAATAAACAAAGGCTGCACAGTGTCGTTTCCAATTTACTTACTTTATAAGAAAATGTTAGTTTATAAGCAATGCCCGTCGGAAACTCGACTCCGAAAAAGAGACATGCTTTACGTAGGACAAATTTTAAAACTGTACACACGTAAGTGTATATGTATATATATATACCTTTTTCAATTGTTTGACCGGTGTCCACGCGAGTATACTCATCGCTTTTACATCAAGAGTCGCTTGCGCGGAGGATCGTTCGATTCGTAAAAGCTCTTTTAGTTGTATTATTTTGTATCGTTATAAATATTGTTAACTACTATTGTTTCTCGTGACGCGTAACTCATAGTACAGTACAGTACAATAGCTGTGATTGTTAGCTTCATGTTCTACTTCACTTCTACTTAGTCACTTCTACTTAATTAAATTAAATAATTCCTCACGAATGGCATCGAGCAACGATCCGTTCTTCGTAACCGAGAATACATAAGGGTGTATAAACGATATATTATTTTCCTTTTCATGAAAAGGAATGCAAATCTAATTTTGTCCATCTTCGAAGGGCGACGATCATTGTTCGCGACGATTTCAAATTGATGCAAATTCGGAATGTCCAGTTTGCAAACGGTTTGCAAAATATGCTGATACGTAAGATAAACTGTTCGATAGGATATTAAGTTATCTATGGAACTCCTCTTGAGAAAAGGACGTTTAGCGAATGCATAAAATAGTAGCTAATAATATTACTCTTTCGTCTTCAGTTCGCACGCGCATTCTACTCTGCACACATGTGCATAAGACAATGGGTTTTTAATACCTAGGAGACGGATGGATGAAGCTTCCTTCCTTTCTCAGAAACATCATTTCTCTCTTCACTATCGTTATTTGTCGTCCGAAATCGCATACGAAGGAAAAAGAATCTTCTACATTGAAATAATACCACTGTCACGTGTAGAAAAGGAAAATAATGACAATAGTAACACGTTTTACTGCCACCACGATGATGAAAAGTTCTTAAAATTTGAATTGTCGTACAATTGATCTTCGTATGTGATTTCCGCGTTAATTTAGCTACGATTCCTATTAGACCAAACTTGTATGCAAATTTGATAGCGGCAAAAAAATGATGATGCACTGAAACTCCAGACACGAGGCTCAAATATCACAATGCTTTCGACTGAATATTTTTCGGTTAAACTTTTGGGAGAGCGGGAGCGTTCTCTCTCTCTATTTTTTTTTTGTAAATATATTTTTATAAATTTACATTTATCAAAGACGTGTCTGTTAAAAACAAGCGAAAATTAATGATTTATTGCAATATATTTAGAAATACATAGCGACTTTATCGATATAAAAAACGAACACGGAGAAAAAGAGTAGATTGTGTTTTCCTTTTTTGCATGTACATATATATGCGACTCTATTATACTTTCAAATAGCTACATTTTGCTATTAAGATTTAAATTTAAATATATTCACATTTGAAGATTGACGAAAAACAAAATTATTCAAAAAGATACTCATCACTTTGAATGGAAAGAATGTTCTATTGCTATAAATATTTTGCTGTATAGATGTGTCCGCGCGTACGATATCGTGATTTTTTACTTGTACTGGACTTGCAACTCGAAGAGTGGCGAGAAACATTTAATATCAACAGACCGTCTTTCGACTCGTATTGTTTATTTTCACTAAGAATCTCAAAGCTCTATCTGTGTGCAACTTTGATGTAATTTTTTTGCATCATGTGAGATATAAGATAAAGCGCGATAGTGCTTTAAAATGCAATCGATTAACTTTAATTTCTTACTTTTAAAAGATATTAAACGAATTCTTTTTCCCAAAATGTGATTGTGCACGATTGCGTTAACTCTGACGAGATATCAATTAGTTTCAAAAATTATTATCTTATTTTGCTTTTATTAAATTAAGAATCTAAATCTATATCAAAGCGGTGCGCCAGTGTATCATGTAAATGTATTATTTATTGAAATATTTATATGCTCGATTAGAGAGTAATCGATTTTGCTTCATTGAAAGTTCTATTTTCAATCAATATTGAATGGCATTGATTAATATTGGTTAACTTGTAAAAAAAAGTAATCGAGTATCCAAAAGGAAAGGTTTCCAAGATACAAAATTGGCTATTATTAAGAACAAACATTCGAAAAAAACACAAGTATCAAATAGCATAAAGATGTCGCTTTTACATTTATAACGATTCCAATTTTTAACGAGATTTGTTTTTCTTGTATGCCTAAATATATAGCGGAAGATCTTTGATTTGGCTAAGTTTTTTAAATAATTGAAATTAATTAATAAGATAAATGTTTTAAAATTAAATTAAATTAAGGTTGTATTACGTGCGCGTGTGTGTGAACGCACATTCATCATGTGAAAGGGAGGGAGAGGGAGAGAATGCGTGCATACGTGTGTGTAAATAATATACGGAGGATTGTTTTAGAGGTAAATTTTAAGAAGACAAGAACGCGCGAGATCAGTTCGCGGCATCTCCGTTGATTTGCGACTAAAATTGACTTTAATTACTGAATTAGATTAAATTGGCGAAAAGATGCGAATGGAGTACGTGGTTGGATATTTAATTGAATATTTGATACTTTCGTAAAATTGAAAGAACTGCAGAAGAGCGAAATTAATTGTCGACTGGGGTAGATTTCGATGAAATTTAAGGATCATATAATAACTATAACTGTGTATAAAATAAATTCGGTTTCTTTATTCTGGTACTTTATTCGGGTACTTTATTCGGCTACTTTATCGGCTACTTAATTTAAACGGCAGGTTTAGATGCGATAGCAAATCATGTCCTTGGCATTTCGATTCTCGATGTCGAAGAGAATCGTTAGATTCCCATCAATACGTGCACAATTTCTCTCTCTTTTCTACTCATTTTTTTCCTCTCCCTCTCTCTCTCTCTCTTTCTCTCTCTCTGTCTCTCTCTTCCTAACTTTTTTTCCAACGACGCATCATTCAAAATTCTCGCTCTAACCAGCCTATAATCGCGCGGACAAGCGCTTTCCTTCCGTTATAACATCCGTTCCATTCGTGTATTCGTACCGTTACGTTTGCCGCTCGCGAACATTCTCATATTAATAATATTCTTCGTAAAAGTAAAAAAGGTATTGCGCATGTATAACGAAGAAAGTGTAACACATAAGTATCAATGATAGCAAAATAATACTGCATAATACATACACATAACAATGCGATCGTGAGAGTATCTGTTGCGAATAAATCAGTTGCAAATAAAGTCATGTGATCTTTTTTTAAATTGCGTTTTAATTTTGCTCTTTTTATTTTCCTGAAATCCTAGAAATTTGTATTTAAACTAATCAAAGACAATTCTTTAGGAAATATTTTGAAATGTAAATTGATTACAAGAAGCAAGTGACCGAGTCTACCATCTCCAAGAGAGAAAGAGCGAGAGAGAGAGAGAGAGAGAGAGAAAGACTGGCAACGCTATGTTTCATATTTATTTGTACAATTATTTGTACAAATATGTATAATATATCGAGTAGCGGCAGCGGATGTACTGTATTTTAATGATGAGTATAGCTGTGCGAGTCTTGGAGACATCCCGAAGGTAACAGATTCGACGTATCCTCATCCGCGGAACTGCACAGCATCCCGACTAGGGTGTAATCCACGAAAGGTGGCAAATCTAAGTCAGCGGCAATCTGATCGCCGTAATTGTTGACGGTCCCATGAGTGACTGGTCCGGCACTCGTCATCTGCGGCATCCGCTCAACGATCTCGCAAGTATAATGGCAACGATCGTTACTGGGATAGAAGTAAGTCTCGGGACTGTTTTGAGAGCGGACGGACGTTTCCGTCACGCCGGAATTATGGAATAGCCTCTCTACGATTTCCGGAGCCTCCTGATTGTCATAGTTACCTTGAAGTTTCTCATCCAAATTTAGTCTAGACGAGTTCTGATGAACGACGCGATTGTGCGATTGATTCTTGCTATCAGCGTGCTCAAACATATGATGATATCCATCGAAGGCATACGGTTTATCTTGTTCGGAATTGCAATTACGTCGTGCCGCATCGTGCTGATCCTCGTTCTTGGGCCTCTGATAGAGATTATATTCCATTCTACTTATAATCGGGGCTTGACCATTGTTCTTGTAGCATTCGACTTCTCTGCGCGAGGCCAACAGATCTTCATCCTTGACTTCAAAACCTTCCAAATGTAATCTGTTGTCTTGTTGATTCTGAGACCAATAAGACTGTTCTTGCTCGTCCTTTGCGCTTCCTTCGATGAAATTTTTTTGGCTTTGCGATCTAGAATAGCTCTGATAATTTAGAGTATCGTTTATAGATTGATTTTGACTCTTTTCTTGCAGAACGTAATGATGCATCGTTTTTTTAGACGAAAATTCATTGGAAACTTTCTCAGGTTCGAAACCGGTAAAATAAAATCCTGGGACCCTTTCATCCTGGGACAAACTTAGATGGCTGCTGCTGGAATCTTCGCTAAGAAACTGATTCCAATAAGTTTGATCGTGCTGCTTTATTTCGTATTTGATGGTACCGCTGCCGAGGTCGAGTAGAGTCGGTGGTGAACGAGCCGTATCCTGGGGATTTGCAGAAAAATCCGGTCTTAATGGTTGATCCAATTGAAAGATCTCTTCCGGTTGGAAAAGATCGCCTGTAAAGGGATCGCGTGGAAAATCGCCGTAAATCTCCTGGGAAACCTGATTCGGCAGACAGTAACCGACAATGTCCTCCTGCGGCGGAGCGTTCTGCATCCAGTAGGATCCGTCTGTAGAGGACAATTGTTGAGAATATACCGTTGTCTGATGATGATGAGACTGCGGGTAGGATGGTACGTTGGTTTGTAGCGAACATATGCACTCGAAGGGTGGACAGGAGCATGAATATCCTACAATGGAAGAAAGAAAAGTTTATATGATTTTTGCTATATATTCCTCGCAATTATTGGTAACTGGCAAAAGGATACTTCATTTCTCGCGCATTGGTAAAAATATTCTTATTACACTCAACGAAAATTTAACGGATCCTAGCGAATTTAATGTGGATCGTTATAGTGAGAAAAATTACAGAAAATCAAGTAAAGAAGGATTGTGATTTTTTTTTACATTTCTAGCAGTAATTTTTGAAATACATCAGAGCTAGCCAATCATAAGCTGTAGTTGAGGGTGCGTTTCAAAATTCTACCGTGGAGTAGACTAGTATTGACTAATCAGAACACAAGAAGCAAAAATCTCTTTATTTTGATTGGTCGATTAAACGTTACTTTACTTTGCGAGTAAGATTTCCGAACATACTTGAAATGGCGGCTCGTACGTGACGTAGTATTTGACGTGATATTCGCGCGCTTCACATATTCGCTAACGTTCGGAAAAATGCAGTGATTTTTAAAGTTTATTTTCTCCCGTTATATAAAATAAACAAATTGTGATTTGCACAAATAATAAAAAATTCCATTCGGTAGTGAAATGTGTTACATAGTCTAATAGTTTTTCAACGATATATATATGCATACTTAATTTTCGTAAAAATTAACTCCATTCGCTAGTGACGTAAATATCGAGGTTACAAGTTTCGAATATCATATTCATATTTGATATCGTACAAGTGTAACAAGTGTCAAAAGTGTCGCAAATCAAGTATCGAACAATTTTAAAATTAACATTTACATCTACACGAAACGATATATCTTGCATCTTTAATGCGAACATAAGTCATCAATCTGCTGTTGGCGGAATGGAGTCATTAAGAAAGCGACAACATTTGGTAATTGATTATTTGCTTGCAAAATTCAAATGTAAAGTTTTACATGTACATATATATATATATATATACCCTAGCGAAAATAAATATTCGGAGCGCAAGCCGAATGTAAGAAAGTGTAAAGGGCCGTCTACAATGGCCGTAGCATAAAGTTGTAAGGTTGTAAGCGAAATGAACCAAATTTATTTCCTAAGGCTACTATGTATGTTCTACGGCGGACGCGCAATCAGAATTCATTTCGCTTACAATCTTACAATCTTATGCTACGGCCATTGTAGACGATCCTTAATAGAAGCATGACCGAAGCTCCTAAGAAGCATAAATTAAAACGCCGAAGCTTAAACGAAGCGTTAAACGCCTAAGCTTCAAGCTTCGTTTAAGCTTCAGCGTTTCAATTTATGCTTCTTAGGAGCTTCGTTTACGCTTCTATTACACTTGCATACATTCGCTCCGAATATTCATTTTCGCTAGGGTATATATACATATATATGTAATAAATGTATTTTTTTAATTCTATATTTTTAATTATATTTCAATGTGTGATGGTTGATGCCATCTTGCGAGCATGCATCCTACTTTGTGAAAGTTTCCTGCCTTTTATATATATATATTTACACATCTAAATTAATGGCGCCAATGTCATGTACATTCTTCACTTTTGATTAAAAGTTATTGAAATAGTAACCTTTGTCAGAAATTAATGGTGGTGGCTGCGTTGTTCTCGATGGCTGCTCAAGTGTATCCGTGCTCGGTCTTTTAGTTCCTTTTAGTGACATTAACTGGAATGAAACATGTATATAATTAATGTGATATAATTCGCTTATATATATTTTAATTATAATTTATCTTTTTTTTTGTTGATTGTAGGAAGGTGTGGCCGGTGATTGCGGTATGCGAACGGAATCTCTTTGTTGCAGTAAGTCATTTTTTTCGTTTGTAGTTAAATTATTTTCAAATGTAACTAATGTTTCGTATATATACCGATTGTGTTGTAAATTAAACGACAACCCAAGTCGGAATAATTATTTACCGCCCGATATAATTAAAGAAAATATCATCGTCCGCGAGATTTTATTCATATATTGATAAAAAGAAATTACGAATTTTTCTACTTTTGGATTAATTTCGCGATCAAACGCGCGAAATGTCTTACAAATTACCTTGGTGCTTAGGGCGGTCTCTTTAGCCAAAAAAATCGCCAGCCCTCTGACTCTTCTGCCGGCACCCACGCTTCTTCTCGCCTCAGATGTGGACTTGGCTTCCGGTCGCGGATGATCGTGCTGTCCCTTGGCTTGAAAAAAAATCGCGTGGTCCGTGTGTCGCCAAAAATGCGTCACGGGATAACCGCAATGTCCACGACACGACAATATTTCTAAACGACCGGTACACTGTCTATTGGGGCACGGTTTGCCCTGTTGTTTCTTCCTCGCCTAGAAGAATCAAAGTAAATTACGAGGATATCAAAAATTCGATATTTTATATGTATATATTATTATTATATTCTCTCGATGCGCACTTAATACTTTAATTGAAAAATTTTGATGCATAGTGCTGTTCAATCATGCGAAATAGAGCCGCGCAAATAAATTATAGATACAATATATTTCCTCAGACATTTGTAAACATGATGAGTCGCGAACGAGCGGGTAAAGTTTTGAATCGCGAAATAAAATAAGAATAATAGCGCGCGAACTCGTGCAACTATCGCGCGACACATTGTACATCTATTATCGGATCGAGATTGAAATTTATCGTTCCGTCCGTTTTTTACCTTATCGCAAATCGCCGGTCGGAGGTGAACCCTTCCACCACCGGGCAGTACGCACTCCTGAGAGCATACCAGAACGCCCAAGCAACTCTTCTTAAGGATGCTCACATTATGATTGTTGGTGTTTCTCATTGCCCAGCCAGAGGCGTGTTTTCTCGCTTCTTCGCAATCTGGTCCGTAGACTCTCCTCACGTGTCCATCCGCCCATTCGCACCAAGGATCGTATTCTACTACCTGACGTAAAATTTCATTTTTGATATTTTAAGGATACTACTTGATTTTTATCCAATTTTCTTTGAATTTTCCAATTCGAGCGTTTGTCTTAAAAAATGAATATTTCGCGCGACGCGACTCATCTCGATCATGAACACCACATTGAAATATTGAAAAAAGAGATTTACCCTCGGTACATTCGAATCGTTTATGTCCCATTCTTGATGAGGATGTTGTTGTTGATTGCCGGCGACAGGCGGCGACCCCACGCGACTTCTACAAAGATAAAATGAAATTTATACCCCTGAAGGTGAAGATGAAGCACTTGTATGTTTTGTAATTTCATTTCTTTAAACTTTAAAATTTTTTTATATCGACTACTATCGTATTACTTTAGCAAATTGACATTTTTTACAAATGCGAATTGAACTGTTGCGACCGATCTTGAAATTCTACAGTTCTTTTTGCTTTTTAAGATTAAATTGTGATTTAATTGTTGTTCTATAATCCAAGAATTAATTTAACATTACGCAATTGTGATTGTGGCTGCCAACTGCAGGATAAAATCTTGACTTGTGGTATGTATATAGCCGTATCTAACAATGTGAAACTTGTGGAAGTTCATGGATAGCATAACGTGACATGAAGCGTTCTTTCAGAACTCATATCTTTATATTACTTTATATTACTTGAAAAGATCGATTTTTGACATAAAATTATTTCTAAAATTTCAATTTGTATGCGATCATGCATCTATTTTTGCCAGGAATTCATTCAGAAGATTTATTGCATCCGATATGTTCTATCTAATACAGATATTGTATTTATTAAATTTATATGTTCCAATCGATAATAATAGGGAATTGCGAACAAAAATTTTCTTCTTTATTTGTAAATTTCTTATTTCATCTTTATTCAAAAAGTCATTCTTTTAATACTAATTTTTTTACAAAGATTTAACATTAATCGTGAAAAGAATAGTGTGAAAAAGTATCGGCAGGAAATTAACTCCATCGCGTATATTAATAATAATGAATATTCGGTTAATTCGTCGCTTTTGTTATCCGATTTTGCAAACGATGCCAAATAAAAAAAATATATATATATACATACATATGAAACTGTTTATAAATTCTCTTGAAGAAGTTTACAAAATTGCACAAAGTAACAGCATGGTTAATGAGAGATAGATAGCGATTATCGTAAATAGTTTGAATGGTATTGATGAAATCGTTTGTGTCGCTTTTTCGCAAAAATATGTATTTACTAAGATTTAAAATACTATGCAAAAATAGAATAATTTAATTACAACAAATAATATTCACTTTACTTTGAGTAATAAAAGACATATTGACATGTACACATAACGAGTGTGATCGAATCTTTCGGCATTAGTTTGTCGATCCCCAAATTTGCAATTGAATTAATTTACTTGTCACGTATATTTATCGGGGATTACGAGACATTGCGTATTGGTTTTCGCGAATTTTTTCTATGGGATTACCACAGGTTACGCGTCGGATGTATACATACATTGTTTCCATCGCAAATCACGTTTGGACGTTAATAATCCTGAAACATCTACTCGGGAACGCTTGATCGCTCGGAGGTCCTGTCCTCAACAACGCGAACCATCTCGCGAACCATCTCTTTTTTACGTTGATGCGATGAGTGCTAGAAAACCGCGGTTTTAATTACCACAATTATAGCGATCGCTAATTGCGTAAAGCATGTGTTTATTAATATACTTTTTAACTCGATATGACAACGTGTCAGTTCGATGTTTGATATATATTATTGAAATATTTCATTCAGATTTTCAATAGCAAGTACTCGCATCACTATCCATGTTGATATAGAAACAACTAGGAATTGACTTTTTTTTATTATATATTATCGCACGCTTGTCTATATATATTTTACATATCTTTAATATTAACTCTCTCTTTTATTCACGCGCGCGTATTCTATTTATATAAAAAGTTTTACACAAATGTCACATTTTTATGTATATCAAGCATGCATGAAATATTTCACCTAAATAAATTTAAAGAGAAGAGTATCGATTTTAATTAATTATTATAGAAAAATAATTTAAAATAATGTGCAGTGACAGTTGCATACATCTCACGATTAGTTCAAAATGATATATCAATTCTCATAATTTATTAATCGATGATTATTGCTTAAAAAAAAGCGGTAGCTTTTTATTATAATTCCAACATTCTTTATCGATGTTTCGTTATGCATAGCGAGGAAAAGCAAACGCGTGTTTATTGTACATTACGTCAACACTTGTTTCTCTCTCTCTCTCTTTCGGTTTTGCTCTCGGAACGGTGTAAAATTGAGCTAAAGGGCACGAGAGGGAGGATGAGGACAGCGCTAACGGAGAAAAGAGCGAGCTTAGGTGAATGATTGCCCGGATCGGTGATAAAGTCATCGCCTTTAGCTCCAAGTAAGATGATACATCGGCGGACGATGGTGCGCCAAGATTGTCCAGAGTCGAAGACGTACGCACACGCGCGTGAACATACGCGTGCATCCTGGAGTACCGTGATCCCCGAGAGAAAGAGATAAAAAGAGGCGAAAGAGAATAAGAGAGGGAAAGAAAAAACGTCTTCGTCGCTCTTTCTCGATGGTATGGGTGCGTTGAGAATTTCAGATATTAAAGCAGATACGCGTCACGACAAGGCCACTAAAATATCACGAAGGGCATACTGAAGGAAGAAATTTCTCGGTCCGTCTTCGTTCGTTCTTCTTTCCTTCTTTACCTCTCTCATTTCTCGTTTCCTCCTATCTCTCCTGATTTCTCTCTCATTTTCTGTCTCTCCTCTCTTTTCTTCGTTCGTTACTGTCTGTGTTTCTGTCTTCTCGCTGCGTTTGGATCTTTCCGCGAGATTAGCTTGCGAGTTAATCTCGCGTTTCTAAACGAGTTAATTCTCCGTTTTTTTATTCGAGTTATTACTCTTGTCGTTATCCGAAAACATCACGTCGATACTTGTATTATATTATAAATAAAAAATTAACAAAATATTTTCTCGCGCCATTTTATCCAAGAATAAGAACAGTTAATTATTACGATAATTCTTAAATGAACCTTCAGGAACATACAAATATTGCATATATAGCTCATCGCTAAGAAAAAGAATAAAACTTTTTCTCGTCTGAATCAAAAATGAAAAATAGAAATAACAATGTTTGGTAAGCGATATAATTTCAATCGGTTTTTTAATCGTGTTTTTTATTTTAATTTCTCATTTTTGTTTTTCAGTTTTTCTTTGCTTTTCATAAAATATATTTTTGAGAAGATTGTTTAATCCAACTATAGACTACTCGAGAAAAATCACGTAGTGTTAAGAATGTCATAGTAATTTTTCCCATTAAAATCAAAATTCTACTTACTTGAATTAATTTTATCCTTATTTTTTTTTAATGTTTGTTTAGCTCAGACGATAGGATATGTAAAATAGATCGTATTTAAATTTACATTGTTTGATATACTCATGATATAATAAGATAGAAAATCAAAAGACGAAAATGAGGCGAAAAATATTTTTTAACCGATTTAAGAAGTATGTATAAAAGATCTATGTGTATATATTGTATACATATATGTGTTTGTGTGAAAAACTTATAATGACTCGTAATTAAACTTAAAATATTCTACAATTTCTTTAAAAATAGAAATATATATATATATGTAATTCGAAGAAAATATTTATAACAACTTTTTAAAATCCATTAAGAATTAATCAATCAGATTGATAAAACCAGTTAATGCGCTAATTACGTTTAGTTTTTTTATTTATACAATATCAAATCTAGTAGTATTTATTTATTAACACAAAGTCTTTACGCATAATTTTGAATAATAGAATTGCGAGAGATAGTGCAAAAAGCTTAATAAAATGCGTCGCAATTCAATGAAATGCGATAGAACTAAAGAAAACCGGTCGGGTTGAATTTTTGCAAATCTGTCTTTTTGCCAATTCCCATGCATCATTCCAGAGCAAACCACGCTGATTCTGAGAGAAAAGGCGAACAAATGGCCGACAAGAGCAAGAACGACGTAAATAAAATCAGTTTGACGCCAAATTTAGGGAAACACGTGAGTCGTTTTATGACCGTAGGATATTTATTCGCAATTAGTTTGCAATACTAAGTTTACAATGTTACATTATTGATGAATATATTAAAGTTATAACATTAAGCTCGCAAATTTTTGAGAACGTCACGCAAAAATTTAAAATAAGATTTTGATGAAATAAGATTTTTGATCTTTTAATCCGATATCGAGAGAGATTAATTATATATTTTTCATACATTTCTTATGATGATATCAGCCATAATAAATCATGAGATTCCTTCCAGAAGTACATAGCAAAAAATTTGACATTCGAAATCTGACATTCGAAATTGTTCCTTGTTAGCTAATATCGTTGAATTATACTACCGCGAATAAACTGTCAGCTTCCATTCGGCTGCCGCTGAATAAAAGGATTCACAAGAAGGAGCTCGCGAAGGGTACCGCAGGTTCAAAGGGTCCTTCTTTCGAAGCAGCGGACAGGAAGAGAACGTTCTTGAGATTTGAGATAAAAGGGGATCGCGTTTTACATTCGTTTAATCTGTCTTTGAGGTGTTGGTCTGTGATCAATGGCGAGGCGGCAATACATTCTTAATCGAGTATAATAGTTTTCACGAAGACGACTATCTTCTCTCTGATTTAGAATCCTTGACTATTCGTTTTACCTTGACTAGTAGAATAAACGTAGGGCTCGGAAGCCTATCTTAGACAATTTATTACTAATAATTATTCAATTAAGAATATTTTATTTGTTTTGGGAAATAGTATCCTTGTATTTTTATTACATCAATTTTCTAACCATTATTTCTAAAATATTTTAAAGACTTTTGTTGTTTAATCATCCTTATATTTTTCGAAAATATGAGTTATTTAAAGTGAAAGAGTATTAAAATTATTATTATTAAAAATTATTATAAAGGAAACTTTTAGTAAAATGATAAGCATCGAAGAAGCGCAACTTTTGCGCATTCGTACATGATTTGATAAAACGCGCATGTGTAAACGAGAAGGTTTATAGAACACCTTGCGTCCAATCAAGTTTCCGTGATACGCCCACGCTACCAATAGGAGATTCGCAAAACTCGCAAAACACTCATTGATTAGATACTAGCTCTCTCTCTCGCTATTTCTCTCTCTCTCTCTCTCTCTCTCTCTCTCTCCCCCCCTCTTCCCGAAATAAAAAAAAATTAATAACAAAATACGATCATTATCGATTCTTTATATTTGTCAAACTATTACAAAACATTTAATATCTCATTAGCTTTAGTCTTAATTTAAATTGTGAAAAAGTATAACCCAACATATATTTTACAATTATAACCATAATTTTATTATACAACAAATATAAATTTAAAATACATTGTTACCTTCATGTGATTAATAAAATCTCTTAATCTATAAGACCAATTATGGATACTTACAAAACTACCATAGTCGATGCTCTTTCGTATAATTGATGTCTCGGTGCTTTGATGCCGGTCACACGATAAATTATTCGCCGGTCGCCGGTCCCAGTCACACGATAAACTATTCGCGATCACTTACGAACGTTTCTTTATCACAATCGCGGAATACACCACCTTTCGATCACGGATGAAGCACGAGTTAATTCTGCATTTCACTATGATCTAGACACAATTTTTTGGAGCGAATCAAAGTCTTTGAACAAATTTCGATCTTCATGGAAAACAATCAGTTGTTCAAAATCTATCATGTTGACAGTCGACAGGTTCGTGTTGCCGCTTCTTAGGATAATGTTCAAACTGTCTTAGTGAAAAGTAAATCAGTCGAGATTTTTGTGGATGTTCGCGAAATAATTGATAGATTTTGACGTTTGCTCTAAGATGAACGGGACGACGCCGATGCGTACAGCGCAACGTTGCTGTATGAACTGGTGAGGTAAGCGTGCGAACTAGCTGGACACCAGGCATATTGTACCCAGCAAAATGCGAGTATATCTTGGTTGCCCCCATATGTCGGCAGGCACCGCCTATGGGAGTGGTCGTGGCTAACCAATCGCCGGCTGTTTCCCTTTCGAGGGTGCCTAATTGACGATATAACAACCCCTCTCGCAACCTACGGAGGAATCGATCACTAGAGGTTTCTCCCTGTGGCAACGAGATTTCTACCAAACATCGTGGTCCAAAATTCCACCGTTCAGTGATATATCGAAATTATTATTGAAAGTAATCGAAATTAATCGTTTTAAAAACTATTAAAAACTATTCCATTTCTGTTATATTTCTGATTTGGAATCCGAGAGAAATCTTAAATATTTAGAAGACAGAATTATTTTTGAGAAAATGAAAAGATTGATAAATATCATGTTTAAAATTTGAGAAATATATATTTCATGTTTAAATAATCTATTATTAGACAATATATATTAGACAATATTTATTTTTTAATATAGATGTTGAAAATTACCGATATCGTAGACTTTTCTTTACGTATTCATATTATATTATACTATATTTAAGTTTACGGATATATATGACAAGTGTGACGATGATTACGAATTGATTAATAATTACTATTACGAGTTATTAATTACGGAAAAATTATTTTTGATAAATGTTATGTGTTTTAATAGCTTATTATTAATACTTATTTTTTAATATAAGTATATGAAATTATCGATATCATGAAAAAATTACATGTTAATTGATTAATTGTATGATGATGGCTTAGTTCATCGATAATCAGCTGGCAAGAGGGTGTTCCTCCCAGGTACCTCCTATTTTCTACCTTCCCTTTGCCTCTTCCAACCCGAGGTACCCGCATCCAAGAAACGGCCCGTTACGCTTCGATCGAACTCGAACCACGACGCAAACATATCTGTCGAGGTGAACGCGTCCTCGGAATTGTAAAGTTGCGATTTCAACCCGGAAAGAGAACTTACGATAGACATACTCTATGCGAATGTATCGCTGCAACTTTTCCAAAGATAGTTGTTTAGTTTTCCTATGCATTGCGCAAGCATGCATTCTTCATTTTGCATTTGTTGATAGTTTTATGTAAATTACATAATGATATAATCATGTCAAGTTGCTTTCAGAATCTTTGTTTCACAGTTAGATGATATAAAAAGAAATTTTTTAAATTTCTATTCTTCTCGATTAAATTTTCGGCATGCTTTATAACAATGTCCCTTTTTTTATACTCTATTTTATTCGTATAAACGAGGTTTATCATATGCGACAATCGACTTCCGCACTTTGCTCGCACGTGCGATTTGATCGCATATTCTGACACGTGTGTATAGCGATGTATTTAGCTTTACTTCCTACCACGTGCACACAGATGCATATTGAGTTTCTATTTGAGCTTACGCTCTTTAGTTTTTTATATAATTTTTTTTTTATACTAGGCTAAAAGTGAGCAAGTTTGTCGCCGAGTTTTTAATGATCTTATTTTTTTCGATATTACCTATTAATGAATATAAGGAGATATTATATTAATATCGAAAGATACGAAAGAAGGTAAAATCAGTCGTAAAACGTAAAAAAATATAAATTTTTAGGAGGAATTTGCAGTAAGCTTTTTAAGATTGATTTCTGAAGATTGTAAAATCCTAAAACTTATATTTTATACCGAATGACGGTTCCTTATTTCCTCCCCTCTCTCTCTCTCTCTCTCTTTTGTAGATCCATTAAACATGGAAGGACCGGGAAATCAGACGAGGAGAAACGGCAGAGGGTAGTGACGGGGTTAGAGGGAGAAAGAGAGACAGTTCGAGGCTGTTTAAATACAGAGAGTGTGCAATCAGGAATGTTTGCTGCGAGTGAGTGAGCGAGCGAGCGAGCAAACGACTGAGCGGATCAAAGGATAAACGTTGATGGGTTGGGGTGGCTGATAGCGGACTGATTTGATTGTCGGCCTCCGCTATTGTCCCGAAACTGGCCTATTGTACGCCACCGGGACAGTACACTCTGGTTACTTGCACACAGGTACTGAGCGTGTACCGGCGAATGCGTTCCTGTGCATGACACTATCTCTCCGACGTTATGTTATGCTCCCTAGTTTCTACGTAATAAACGCGCCGTGAGATCGCGCGACCGCCCTTCCTCTCTCTTCTCTCGTCAAGTTTCCCGAGACAATTATTGTGAATTATTATGAAAGAAAGAAAAGATCGTGCCCATTAGTATTTTTACCAGTTCTTTCTGACAAGCTATTAATTCGCCTTGTCACTTTGTGAAATGTTCTTTATTGCGTGGAAGAAGAATGAGTTTTTAATACCTTCTACCTTCTCAAATATATAGACATACATACGTATGTACGAATATTTATGAATACACTCGTTACACGCACGCATATTCATATATATTTAAATATTTATGTTTAATAAAAATACAATGTCAATTCATTTAGCAAGTCGACAAGACACACAGTATAAGTAATAAGTTATTAAATTTTTATTTCTTTATTTTTCTCTTTATATTTTCTCCTTTGCTCAGTTTTTATACTTTTCATACTCGAGTTAATTTTGTAAGTAATTGCCAAATGGCAGTTTGTAGAATAATATGAAAAAGGACAAATTTTCGGGCTTATCCGTACATCTGCCTCGCATTTGCATACAATGCGAGTCGCGTGTTCTAGCCAGCAACATGTAGGAGGAGAGATTTCCCCTCTTTTAGACTTTTAAATATTCCGTCACCTGTCAACTGTAACATACGTACACACTTAAATATAATATTTATATTCAACGGTTTCTAATTCTTCAATATATTTACACGAATAATTTTGATCGGTTAAATAGAATATATATTTATTACTTTTTCATAAAACTAAACAATTTCGTTCATATATAAGATTTTTTTACATCTTTCTGACAAACTCGCACTTTGATGTACTTTCATTTACATTTCCGACGATCGCTCTTTTCAGCTCAGACTCTGAAAGCCAGATGATGAGAACAACGTCGGCAACCAGCTCACGTCTCTAGGCTCGTGCCGGCTGCTTCCGGTTTTTCAAAGCGATGCTGCCTTCTGGGATCGAGATCTGATCTGACGTGAACTCCATAATCCATTCAGCATGAGTCAATCCGCCTGCTGCTTTGTAAATCGGTTAGGATTACAAATTCATCCGGCAGTCGAGATTGCATTTCTACATTATACACAGACGCGAAATCATGTTTATTATATTTCCCGAGTCTCGATCAGAGACTTATGAGGGACTCTTAAGGCCATTCTACAATGGCCGTAGCATAAGGTTGTAAGGCGTAAGACTCAAGAAATTGACCAATCACAGTCAAGTATTAAGAGAATACTCGACTGTGATTGGTCAATTTCTTGAGTCTTACGTCTTACAACCTTATGCTACGGCCATTGTAGAATGGCCTTTAGGAGTTGAGGGGAAAAAGCAGTGTGCATGCTCGTTTTCATCCCACCACGAGACAAAAGAGAAAGACAGAGATACCCGGAATCATCTCTCTGTCCTTTAGATCTTTCAGGCTGCGTTCGCTTTGTACGCTTACGCGCTGTGAGCATCATTCTGTCTTTATTGCACATCGAATATCAAACGAAGATAGAGCGATGCTTTCAGCACTAAAAACCGTCAAAACGAACGCAGCCTCAACGTTGCCTCTTACGGTAGGGGGGTCAGCCTATTCTATGGCCGGTATTCATAGTCCGATCTTATATTTAAGATCATTTTAAGTTCATTTTTAGATAATCTGTAGCCAATAGAATAATACATACAATATTTAAAGATGAACTTAAGATGATCTTAAATATAAGAACGGACTATAAATACCGGCCTATAAATCTATGATCGAGACTCGCTCGTTCCCAAGCCTCTATTCTTGATAAGCGCTCCCGATGATCTAGAGTCTCGAGATCCAGTCTCGCTGTCGGGAACGAGCGGGAGTGAGAGCAGATTTGCACGCCTCTAATGAACACAATACTTGCTTATCGCTTACTTTGCATTTTGTTTTTGTCTTGGACAGCGATTTCCGCCGACGGAAGCTATGAAAACATTGTAGTCTTCATAATGTATTCTCAAAAAAAGCTGATATCTATTGTACTCGCGTTCAACCGATGTCACCCCTGAAAACGCGGTCTTCAGATTGAGAAAAAACTATCCCTCCTAATGTATCCCTATTGTTTCGTGACATATTCTTAGGTCCTCGAGTCACAGCGAGGAATTTTCATAATCGTTAGTTTATAATCATTTTTCACATTAGCAAGAAATGCGTGAAAAAGAATTAAGAAAGGGTTCTCTCGTTACAATTGAAGACAAATTGCTAAAAAACTTTCATAATTTTTTGAACATTGCACAACATTTTTATAAAGTGTCTGGAATGGTTTATATATAAAAAATTATCCTTAATTCGTGAGCTCTGCTTCCATTTAATTACGTAATTGATATAAACAGGTCTATGGTTCACACGGATAATACCTGCACCCCTCATCGTAATCTCTTTGTTTTCCCACATTTATTACATTGTATCGGAAATCTTATCTAGTATCGATGGGAATAAGATTCTAGTATGACAAACATATCTCGACATAAATAGTATATACTTAATTAACAAATACTTAATAACTTAAGTTAGTACAATTGAAAAGAAGAGAATAATGTCATATCGTATATAATAAATCAAATGTCATTTGGATTGTTATTTCAAATATAATATTTTCTTGAGTTTGCTTTTTGGACGATGTAGAAGAGATGTAGGGAGTTTTAAGATTTAAATGCCGCGTGTTAGGCGTTAGTTAGACCTTCCATCCAAGGATTCTCATTGTGTGCCAATTGAACCTTGTTTATAAGCCAGGGGGGGTGAGGTTTATAAGCCAGGAGGTAGTAGGTCTAATTGATTTAAATTAGAAG